CACACATCAGCTAAACTTCATTGCAACTGCTCTGATGTACTCTAGCAGGGAATTTGTTCCCAAGTTTTCAGTCCCTACTGGCCCCTGAAGCAGAGAGGCTGGGAGAGTGGAGTAGCAAAGACAAGCTGCCCGCGGGGTAGTGCTGCCTTGGGGCCAACGTGACTCCTAGGCCAACTCTTTTCAGGGCAACATGACAACTAGCAGTAGCTTTTCTAACACTGATAAAGTGCCCCCTTGGGTGAAGATGGGGCTGAAATATCAGATAGGCTAAATAAACTCTTGCTGCTCCCCCCACCCCTTACCACAGTGAGAATCTGCCCAAATGTGACCTCTTTCATAGCCTTGCTTTTGTTTCAGTGGTTGCAGACCTAATCTTATTATGGCTGCCTTCACATCATCTATGACAAAATAAAGTCTTTACTTTCTACCAGATACCAGCCCTCTGCATGGAGCAGCTAAATTTGGACTCTAGTTAGCATTCAGTAACTGCAATATATTTTTATAGATAAATGTTCCCTCAGTATCTCTGAATATTGATTTAAGATGCAGTAGGGAACAATGGTTATCTCAAACCACATTTTTAAACATATTATATTCAGGAAAGGGAATTTCATGCATGACCATCTGAAGCACAACATATTCCACACCATTTAGAACTATCTCAGGTTCTCTTTTCATACTAATAATTTCTACTTAATTTAAACTTTACCAGACACCTCACTACTGAGAAATATTCCAGTTTAAATATTTGACTTGAGTTGTTCATCTTTTGTTTAATGACCAACTTTTTATATGGATATAAAACTGCTTAAAATGTAGTTTTGTTCCCTCTTTCTGAATAGACTTCCACTATTACTTTTTACCAACTAGTTTCATTGAAAGGTTTCCAGCGTTACAGGTAATGTAAAGTCCATTAGGTCAGGCTCTTCATAGCATGACATGCAGTAAATTACAAGTGCTTCAAGCAGCTCAGTGAATTACAGTTCATCACTTTGAAAGGTTCCCACTACAAGACTACAGATATCAGATCTGGCAGTTAGGATCCAATTAACACTTTGGTCAGAATACTCAGATTGCATGTGTAAGACTTGTATAATTCGTTTATTGCTTCCATGCATCTTCTGTCTGTAGGTAAATTTGTTGCTGTTATTTCAAAGCTTGGAATCAGTATTTCACTTGCCTTTAGGTTATATTTCAAGTTCTTTTGCAGTGCAGTGATGAACTCTCCCTGTTCCAGCAATTTAGATCACTTGTCCTGTAGATATTACTGCTTGAGAAATGGTTTGTTTCTGGTGGTTTTGTTTTGTATTCTTACCATGTCATTATATGTCTAGCAAAAAAATTGCTAGCAATTTTTACTAAGCACATTTTATTTAGTGCAACAGTTTTCTCCAATGCAATCATTGTGAATCTCACAGAACACCCAGATACACTGTAAATGACATATGCATTGACATTTACATGTGTACTGTCATGCAAAACCATTTCCTGCTACACTGGATATAATATTATAACTGAATGAAAAAAACATTCTGATTTGTGTTATCATTTTTCAAGCCATGGTCAGTGTACCTAAAGGTTCTTCAGGATAAACTTCATCAGTGCAGAGTAATGGATTTTAAATTCTGTGTTCTTAGTTAGTGCTTTATGGCAAATTGCACTTTCAAGTCTTACAGGCAGCAAGATTCCTTGGCAAGAACTCAGCTTGTCCCAGGTATCCCACCTTTTCCATGGGAGAGCAGTAATGAACAGATATACAAACGCTGGATGTTTGAAATGCAGAAATCTGCGAACCGGATAAGCAAAAAGATCGAAGACTACTACTACCCCCCTACGTTGTATTTCCTATGTCAAAACATGCTAGTTATGTTCAATATATTATGTCTTTTTCCCCTCTGACAACCCTACCCATACAGAAGTCATGTATGTAAAAGGTTGTATCTGATTCATGTATACAGCAATGCATACTTAGGCTTTTCATTAATATATGCATTTCAAATACTACAGGAACAAGAATTAAAACAGAAATTTAAACTTATTTCCAAGTTTGAAAATGTTTTAAGAACAAACATTATCTAA